TATATATATATATATATATAAGTACATACATACACACATATACATATATAACGGCTATTTATTTATTTATTTATTTGTATTGTATAATAAATCAATATTCTTCTTCTTCCTCCTCCTCCTCCTCTTCTTCTTCTTCCTCCTCTTCTTCCTCATCATCATAATCATATTCATCATCATGTACATCTGCTGCTGCAGCAGCAGCAGCAGCAGCAACAATATTTCTCCTCCTCGCTTCTGCAGCAGCAGCAGCCGCACGATTCTCCCTCTCCTCCCTGTTCTCCCTCCCTCTTCCTCCCTCTCCCCCTTCTTCTTCTTCTTCTTCTTCTTCCTCCTCTTCTTCTTCTTCCTCCTCTTCTTCTTCCTCTCCCCTCCCTCTCCCCCTCCCCTTATCCCCACCACGAGCACCACCACTAGGACCACCACTAGCATTAGCAGCACCAACGCCAGCAGCAGCACCAGCAGCAGCAACAGCAGCAGAAGAAGAAGAAGAAGAATAAGAAGAAGAATAAGGAGAAGAAGAAAGATTATTATAATTATTATAATTATTATAATTATAATTATAATTATAATTAATATAATTATTACTAGTTTCCTCTAATAAATGTATTTGTTGTATTCTTCTATTGATATTCATAAGATGTAATGCATGCCTTGCTGCAGATATTAATTGTGCTGTTTTTTTATATCTTCTTCTTGTTAATGATATATTTCCTTCTTTTAATAATTTTAATGCTCTTTTTCTTCTTTTTTCTCCTTCTTCTTCCTCCTCTTCTTCTTCTTCCTCTCCCTCTTCCTCATCCTTTTCTCCCTCTCCTCCTCTTCTCTCGACCTCTCCTCTATATTTATTCATATTTATATTATATTTATTATTATTATTTATTTTTTTATTTATTTTATTTTTATTAGATAAAGAATCTATTCCTATCTGTAGTTTAATTACTGCATTATTTACTGCTATATCTAATTGTTGCCATGCACCATAGGTGCCTATACACCTGACGGCTGCATATGTTGCATCATATGCTTCTTTTCTTAATTCTTTATTCCTTTTTAATGCTGCTGCTGCTGCTCCTTTTCTACCACCACAATTCTCTACTAGATTTGCTGCTTCTGCTGCTGCTGCTGCTGCATTTGCTGCTAATTTTGCTAATTGGTATGCAACACTTGCTGTTCTTCTTAATTGTGCATGACTTGTATTTATATAATTATCTATTTTATTTATATTATTTATTTTATTTATTTCTTCTTCTTTTCTTATCCTATTCTCCTCTATTTCCTCTATATTATCTACTAATAATGTTGCTAATTCTGCATGTCTTGCTGCTGCTGCTGCTTCCTCTCTTACACGATCTAATAATATATTAAATGGCATCTTTTCTATCTCTTCCTCTAATCCAGGTGTACTTGCTGCTGCTGCTGCTGCTGCTGCTGCTGCTGCTGCTGTTTCTGTATCTGTTTGTCCATCATCATATTCTTCTCCTTTTTTTCTTCTTGTTCCTTTTACTGCTGCTGCTCTTGCTGCTGCTGCTGCTGCTGCTGCTGCTTGTGTATGTGCAGCAAGAACAATATCTTGTGCATTATTATATAAATGACGTAATCTATGTATATAAGCAATAGATCTAACAGGTCTATTCTCCTCATTAAGACGATTAACTATTTCTGCTGCTTGCTGCTGCTGCTGCTGCAGTGTACGTAATGCTTCTTCCCATACTTCTTTTACTCTCTCCTCTTTCCTCTCCTCTAATCTTATTCCTCCCTCTTCTTCTCCTTCTCCCTCTTCTTCTCCTTCTCCCTCTTCTCTCTCTCCCCTATCCCTTCTCTCCCTCTCTCTCTCTTGAGCAACAACAGCAGCAGCAGCAGCAGCAGCAGCAGCAGCAGCAGCTTGTTGTGTAGTAAATTGTATATGCTGTATAAGTATATAAAATTGATGAATTAATTCATTAGCCTCTAATTTAGATTGAATAAGATGAATAGGTTTGGATATATTTTCCCAACTATTTACTAATTCATATCCAACTTTTATTCTATTAAATATATTTTCTGCTGTTTTTCTTCTTTTTATTATATAATTATATAATTTAATTAATTCAATAGGCTTATATATATTTATTTTATTCCTTTTTTTCTCTATATTATTATTATATATATTATTATTATCTATATTTATATTATTTATATTTATATTATTTATTACTCTTTGTTGGCTATATAGTAACGAACTAAGTAAATGTTTATCCCATTTACTTCCCCGCATTATTTGTTCTGTTAGTGCTGCCTCTACCCTTAATGAATCTGTTTCTATTGCTGCAGCTAGTGTACATACACTAGATGCACGGAAGGCAGTACTATGACATAAGAATCCTCCTTCCCTTTGTAGGTAACGAAGACGGGATAGCTGCAGCTGCTGCAGTTCGTTTGTTAATGACAGAATGCTGCGCCAATGGTATCCTGCTGCTGCTGCTGCTGCTGCTGCAGTAGAAGAGGAAGATGTTAATGTTGATGGGGAAACAGGAGGAGATAAAGATATTGTATAAGAAGGTATTTCTCCTTGTTCTTGCTGATCTACTCCTGCTGCTGTTGCTGCTGTTGATTCTGTTCCTGCTGCTGTTATTGGGGTTTGTTCAATTCCTGTTTCTCCTTGTTCTGCTGCTGCTGCTGCTGCTGCTGCTTGTATTATTTGCTTAAAATCATAAAATTGTGCATCTGCTGCTGCTGCTCTTAGTGCTGCTGCATGCGCTAATATACAAGAAGAGACACGGGAAGCAACTTCTTCGTCCTTGAATGCATGCGCTATATTCTCTGCAGCAGCAACTAATTGATCTATTTCTTCTCTTGTTTTTTTTATTCCTTTCTTCCTGTTGCTGCTGCTGCTGCTTCTTCTTCTTCTTCTTTTCTTCCTCCCTCCGCTGCTGCTGCTGCTGCTTGTTGTACTTATACGTCTACTTATACTTTTCTTCTTCTTATCCTTCTTATATAGACCACGAAATATATTGCTGCTGCTTCTGCTGCTGCTGCTGCTGCCTATCTGTACACCCGCTACTATACCTGCTGTCATCAGCAGCAGCAGCATAGATGCACTTATATAATCCTTTATTTGCTTCCTTAATATAAGTACACGATTTGTATTATGTTGCTCCTCTCCTTCCCTTATTACCTGCTGCTGCTGCTCCTCATCCTCATCCTCATCCTCATCCTGTCGCTGGTGCTGCTGCTGCTGCTGCTGTTGCTGCTGCTGCTGCTGCTGCTTATGCTCACCACTTGGCTGCAATACACCAGATACAGAAGAATCCCATGAAGGGAGAGATGCTCCTGCTGTATTATCATAAGATGCTGCTAAGTCATAAGAAGGATCTGTTATAGTTGCTGCACCATTTGTCCATGGGGACTCACTTGTACCACTTAATTGGCAATAAGCAACCTGCAGCAGCAACAGTCTGCTGCTGCTGTTGCTGCTGTTGCTGCTGTTGCTGCTGTTACTGCAAAAAAAAAGCAAAAAAATTACTCGGCCAATCCGCAACAGGGAAGACCTTAATCCTACAAAAGAAGATACCATTGCATTCATTAAAAAAAGACTAACTAATTAAATAAATAATTAACTAATTAATTAAATTATATTATTTATTCAATATACAGTTATATACGGTGTATTTATAGGCACAGTACTAGTACTATGTACTATGACGATGATCGAGCCCTCTACTATTCGTACAAGGGCGTATATTCAACCATGAATATGGCTCCATCCCCCCTTCATGGAACCTTTTATCACATACTCCTTCCTGCTATAATAAAAAGAGAAGGAAAAAATCATAAAAAGCAGGAAAATTATGTAAAAAAAACAAGATAATCAGCGGAAATATCGAGTCGGGCGGGGATGGCGGATTCCACGCCCATAAGGAGGCGACTGTGTAGGTCGCTTCTTAAGGACTTCTTCCTTCTTATAAGGCAAAATAAGAAAATAAAAAACATAAAATAAAAAAAAAGAAAAATAAATGAATAAATATACAGGATCTTGTCGCTCATCATGCGTCGATGCCGCTGTCGCGGGGGGCTCGTGTTTGCGCGTCGCTGCTGGGCTTCTGATTGAGGAGGGTCCGGGTGTACAGCTGAAATGCGCAAAGTTGACGGGGGTAAAATCAAGGAAACTCGGCAATTTAACCATTGAAATTGATTGTTTTTCTTATTTTATTCATGAATATGCAGAAAAATTAAAGAAAAAACGAAGAAAAATGGGTCTAATCAACACGATCAACGGTATTGCAGATCGGCTCGACCCAGATACGACTAAGGAAAGCAAACAAATACAGCAAAATAAATTGCAGAAAATGATGAAAAATTATTCATAATTAATTAAATTAAATTAATACTCTTAGGTCGTCTTATTTACTCCCCAACTTTTAGCGCTTTCTTCCTCTTGTCCATCCGTCTCAATAGTACAATTTACCACGACAAAAAAATCTTATGCAACTCGGGGTGTCTGTACACCTCAGAGTTGCTTTCATCCTATAAATGAATTAAATAAACAATAATTCAACTTCTTTTAATATGTACTTAATGGATATTCTCCCCTTTTAGCTCCTTTTATGCATGCAACAATTCGCATCGTCGTCCTATTCGCTGGTCTACCCTTATTAATGCAACAAAACTATTTCTTTTTCTGCTTAATATGTATAAAGAAGTATATAATAAGATGACTGGAGGTGCCTATACACCCGAAAAAGGCAATCCTGTAGAGGGAAACAACTCTTCCTTCCTATTAGATACAATAGGCATTAATAAGAAAAATAGACATGGGTAATAGGAGAGAAAGGGAGGGAATAATACACAGAAATAGTAGTCTATAAGAAAAGAATAAGTAGCGTATAAAGAGGAATAAAGGAAGTATTTATTATAACTATTTATTATAACTATTTATTTTTTATCTCTTTTTATTTATTAACAACAATTATATTATTATATTAATAAATTTATATATAATAAGAATTTATATATAAAAAGAA